GCCTGGGGGTGCTTTTAAGCCACTGCGTCCAGGACGCGAACCGTGGTCGACTACATGGGAGCCCAGTGGCATAGCCATTACGCTAACTGCTGGTTCCTAATAAAATGATTCTTTAAAAAAAAAAAAAATCCCCAGAGGAGAATGGAAAAGGGATTGTAGTGTGACTATTCCCCCTGGAGGGTAATTTCTCACTTTCTGTCTCTCTCTGGCGAGCGCATGTACCCTACAGCAAAAATCTCTCTTAAAAAAATAAATTGGGCTGTCAGGTGGTGTCGTAGTTAAGATCCTGGATTCCTACATGGCCAATCATAGTTCGAGTCCTGGACCTGATAGATTGCTCTCTCACTTTTTCTCTCTCTCTGGTCAAGGTACAAAGAAAGAGAAAGGGAGAAAGAAAGCCACCAGATTTGCGACTTGAACCATTATCAGCCTTGGGGGAATCCACTGCCTTTAACCACCACGCCACCTGCCAGCCCCATTTTTTTTTTTTTTTTGGAGAGGTTTTTTTGCTATAGGGCGTGTGCGCTCGCCAGACAGAGAGAGACATAGAGACAGAAAGCGAGAAATCACCCCCCAGTGGGGATGGTCACGCCGCAATCCCTTCTCCTCCATTCTCCTCTCGGGATCTTGGGCACGTATGCACACGCGCCCGGCGTGAGTTTTAAGCCACCGGGTCCGGGACGTGAACCACGGTTGACTACGTGGGAGTCCAGCAACATAGCCATTACGCTAACTGCTGGTTCCCCCAGCCCCATTTTTTAAATAAAATAAATTCTTGGGACAAGCAATTAGCGTAATGGCTATGTCGCTGAACTTCCCTATAGTCGACCGCAGTTCGAGTCCCAGACCCAGTGGCTTAAACTCACGCCAGGTGCGTATGTGTGCGTGCCCAAGATCCCGAGAGGGGAATGGAGGAGAAGGGATTATGGCGTGACCATTCCCCGTGGGGGGTGATTTCTCACTTTCTATCTCTCTGTCTTTGTCTTTCTGGCGAGTGCACGCGCCCTATCCTGAAAACCTCCAAAAACAAATAAATAAATAAATTTTTCATTAAAAGAAATTTTTTTTAAATGTATAATTTAAAAAATTATGATGAATAATACCATATGCAAAGTTTAAGGTCAAGGAATGAGATGCTTATGATGTATTTACAAAGGACTCATATTCATGTTATATAAGAGAAAAGTAATATATATACATGTTATGTAAGAGAAAAGTAATATGGTGGGAAAATGGTCATATTACTTTCTCTCCTTTCTCTTTTTTTCTTTTTTTTTGCCTGAGAGCACATACACTCAATGGGGACCAAGGGAAAGTAAGACAGTGTCCTCCACGGGGGATGGTCACACCACAGCGCCTTCTCCATTTTTTTCTCCTGTTTGGATTTTGGGTACACTTGCATACATGTTTGGCATGTTTTTCAAGCCACCTGGTCTAGGACTCAAATTTCTCAGTTGGATCCAGCTATCTTAACTAGCCATAACACTCCACCAGCTGGACTCGTTATATATCTAAAGAAGAAATTTATGTCAAGAGGTGTTCATAGGACCAGAAGGTAGAGTGGTGCTAAAATGTAACATTTTATAAGGCAATCCCAAATGGGAAGTTTCCTGGTTCAAGCCTGGAGACCTCATTAAATATGCCAGGCACCTGTGTGCCCGTCATCCAGTTCCAGCTGAGGGCTTGGGGTGGATCGCAGCATCAAAACCCTACTGGGGGTGCTGTCTGTGTCTCCTCTTTCTTACTCTCTCTTGCTCATAAAAAATAAATAAATAAACTTAGAAGGAAAAAAGGTATTCAGCCTCACAGTTCAAGACAATACCAAGAGTGTTCTAAGTCCTGGAGTGTACTTATAAAAATGTTGAAGAATGGGGGGCCGGCAGTTGGCATGGCGGATAGGGATGCTGGGCTCCCACATGGCTGACTATGGTTCAGGCATCAGACCTGGCAGCTTGCTTTCTCATTTTCCTTTTTCCTCTCTCTCTCTCACTCTGTCCCTCTCTGGTCAACTTAAAATAAATAAATAAGTAAACAAACAAACAAATAAAAAAAATAAAGTTCAATAAAATTAAAAAAAAAATGTTGAAGAATGGGACCAGCAGGTGGTATGATGGTTAAGATGCTGGACTCCCACATGGCCAGCACTCTGGTGAGCACATGTGCCCTATAACAAATTTAAAAATTATAATAATAAATAAATAAAATGAAATAATTCTAAATTTTTGAAAGAATTATTTTTTTTAACTTTTTTATTATTATTATTTATTTTCCAGTTTAAATGGGGTGGAGGAGGAGTGAGAAAGCAAGCAACCAGTCCGGGATTCAAACTGTGATTGGCCATGTGGGAGTCCATTGCCTTTAACCACCATACCACCTGTGGGCCCCAATTCTAAAACATTTTAAAAAGAGAAAAAAAGATAAGGAATGCTGTCATGAATCTTTTTTATAAAGTAAAATCACAGGTAATGTCTTTTTTGTTTGTTTGCTTTATTTTTTAGGGAGATTTTTTTGCTATAGGGTGTGTGTGCTCACCAAAGAGATGGAGAAACAGAAAGACAGAAAGTGAGAAATCACCCCCCAAGGAAAATGGTCATGCCACAATCCCTTCTTCTCCATTCTCCTCTCGGGATTTTGGACTTTCATGCACACATACTTGGCATGAGTTATAAACCATCAGGTCTATGGGAATCTAGCAATGTAACCATTATGTCATTTGTTGGTACCTACATCTAATTATTTCTTTTAAAATCTGTATTTTTACCTATCTAAACTTATTTTTACTTTTTTTAAAGAATTTTTTATTTAATTTTACTTTTTTTCTTTGTTTTAATTTGACCACCTAGAGGGAGAATGTGAGAAAGCAAGCTGCCAAGTCTGGGACCCGAACCATACTCGGCCATATGGGAGTCTTAGTGTCTTCACTGTACCACCTTCTTGCCCTCAAAACATATTTTTAATTCCAGAGGGCATGTGGACTCACCAGGGAGCAATAGAGACAGCATCTCCCAAAGGGCTTGGTCATGCTATAATCCCTTCACTCTTTCTCTATTCTGTTGGGATTTGGGCACAGAGACACACATATAGTACATTTTTCAAGCTGCCAAGGCTGAAAGTAGAACCATGTATTAATAGGATATGGCTCCCATAACCACTAGACTACAAAGCCAGCCCTCCACTTTTTTTTTTTCAACTTCGCCAAAGGCTATGTGCACTCAACATAGATAGACAGGGAAAAAGAGAAAGCACTCTCCGTGGGATATGTTTACTCTGCAATCTCTTCTTCATTTCTCCAACCTATTCAAATTTTGGACATGCTCGCACATATGCCCAGCATTTTTCTCAAGCCATTGTAGCCAGGATTCAAACTGCACAGTGCACCGTGTAGAATCCTGCTCTCTTAACTACTAGGCCATGGGGCCAGCCCTTTATTATGTTTATTTTGTCCATGAACACAAGACACAGCACCCCAAAAAAGGCCTTGATGCCATAAAGCACCTTTAGCTTCAGCCAGTCCCAGATAAGAGACACTTATAAGCCTAGTATACTCAGGGATGTTTCCATACATGACATGAATCTATAATTTTCCTATGTGAATTAGTCTCATGGAATGTTGCATTACTGCTGCACTACAGTTTGGCCTTCAAAACTTATCTGAAGTAAGATACACCAACAGCAAAGACTTACGGGGCTGCAGGTGTCATGCTGGTTAAGGGTACTGTACTCCCATGGTTAACTGATTTGAGTCCTGGACCTGGCAGCTTGTTTGTGTGCGCGCTCTCTCTCTCTCTCTCTCTCAGTCTGTTCCTCTCTGTTCAAATGTAAATAAATAAAGTTAAATAAAATAATCCCTTTTAAAAAAGACTTCTAATTAATTTGTAAGGTCAGTTAAAAAGACTGTCAGGGACCAGCAGTTGGTATAATGGCTATGTTGAACTCCTACGTAGTTGACCGTGGTTTGAGTCCCAGACCCAGTGGCTTAAACTCATGCCAGGCGATCCTGAGAGGATAATGGAGGAGAAGGGATTGCGACATGGCCATCCCTCCTGGGGGGTGATTTCTGGCTTTCTGTCTCTCTGTCTCTCTCTGGCGAGCACACGCTCCCTATAACAAAAACCTCTCCAAAAAATAAAATAAAAAAAGAATTGTTTTTTGGGGGGGGCTGGCAGGTGGCATGGTGAAGTGCACTGGACTCCCACATGGCCAACTGTAGTTCTAGTCCCAGACCTGAGAACTTGCTTTCTCTCTCTCTCTCACTCTCTGGCCAAATTTAAATAAATAAATAAATAAATAAAGGTAAATAAAATAATTCTTTTTAAAAATTATTTTAATTTTATTTATTATTTCAAACTTTTTAAAAAGAATTATTTATTTTGGGACCAGCAGGTGGTGTGATGCTTAAGGCAGTGAACACTCCCACATATTCAACCATGGTTCAAGTCCTGGACCTGGTGTCTTCCTTTCTCACTTTCCCTCTCTCTGTGTCTCTCTGGCCAAATTAAAATAAATTAATGAATAAAGTTAATAAATAATTATTTTTTAAAAGAATTATTTGTTTATTTATTGTTGTTATTCTTTTTATTATTTTAATTTTACCAGAAAGAGACAGTGAAAGAGAGGGAAAATGAGAAAGCAAGCCACCAGGTCCAGGATTCGAACCATGATCAACCACGTGGGAATCCAGCCACCATAACCACCATGCCACCTAGAGACCCTAGTAGTTAGAGATTTTTTTTACATGATTGCTCCATTTCACACTTACTACAACCTTACAAAATAGGAAGGGATGAGTGATTTTCTGTATTTTATAAGGATTATAAATAGAGATTCATAGAAGAGAAGTGAAAGATCTGGCACTCAAGAAGGGCCATATCTTTATTATACTGCATTGCTTCCATTTTTCTTGGATATACTATATGTGGGTTTGTTATTCTAATAGAGATTAAAATGGCTTCCAGAGGAAAGACAGAGACAAGCAAATTAAAGCAGAATTTAGAAGAACAGCTGGATAGACTAATGCAGCAGTTACAAGATTTGGAGGAATGCAGGTAAGAGTAAAATTGTATTATTTTTCTGTGAAATGGCCTTTTTCTGCAGCGAAATTATAATCTCTCTAGATGCAGGCCCATATGTGATTTTGATTTCCACTCTAGTGTTCTTCACAGTGCTTTTGTCTGCTACAGAACTAAACTAATCAGCCTTAGGAGTCATAAAGGCTGAGAAGTGAAGGTCTTTCAGTGAATTACTAAGTACATGTGAACTTGGGCGAAATACATCCTTAACCTCTCGTAAATGGAAATAATAGCATCTAATTCATCTTTATTATTTAAAACAGCTGTGCCTAGTATCAGAATGAGAGTGAGAAGTTACTGCTTAGGTCCAGCAGTTAGCGTAATGGCTATGTCGCTGGACTCCCATGTAGTTGACCGCGGTTTGCGTCCCAGACCCGGTGGCTTAAACTCTCGCTGGGCGCATGTGCGTGTGTGCCTAAAATCCCGAGAGGAGAATGGAGGAGAAGGGATTGCGGTGTGGCCATCCCCCTGAGGGGTGATTTCTCG